TCGGGTACTGTGAACAACATGTGGAGCGTGTTTTTGCTGGGAAACGTTGTGTTGAGAGCGTCGACGCTGTTGGTCAGCAACGTCAAGGCGTATGCAACTAGGCGTGATGCACTTGGCTTTTCCTCGATCGGGACGCTGACGCTGGTGGGTGGCAGCTCGCTGTACTTGCGGTACTGCAGCTTTGAGGGCTACAAATACCTGTTCTATGTGCACAGTCTCAGTGTGAGTGACTACTCCGTTTTTGCGCTGCTCAACAATAAGATGTTATTCGGAGTAAGCCTGCTGTATCAGCACCAAGGATTCAGCGTGTCGGATCACAGCGTGTTGCGCGTGGTGGGGAACAGCGGCTCAGCTCGCTACGCCATCTGTAACGATGAATTGTGGACTATTCAGCGGTCAAGCTGGCTGGATTGGCGCGACAACGACGTGGAAGTGGGTGCGATGTTCTACGACACTGAGTCCGCATTTGTGAGCATTGACGACAGCAGTGCGGTAACGTTGACTGGCTGCAAGATGGGCTCGACGGGGTTGTCGGTATCCCTGCTATCGCGGGTTGACGCCGGCTACCGGTTCGTTGCTGGGTGTCTGACGGTCGCGGGACGGGAGGTGACGACGGCGGCAGAACTGGCGCTCCACGGCATCACCAACGTGACGACGGTTTTCGCGTGCGGTGAGTGCACGAGGGACGGCGACTGCTTTGCTCCGCTGACGACGGCTGTCATTGACTGCAAGTGCCAGTGCGCTGCTGGAGGGCACGGCGATGCGTGTGTCCCTGCGCCTGTGCCTGCTGGCCCGCCGCCACCACCAACAGCAACACCCACACCGCCGCCACCGCTGGTTGGTGAGTGCATCAGCGACATGGTGTACCCCGAGGTTGCGCAGTCTGTGGGCAGCGGGCTGTCGTGGCTGTGCTACCGCAACGTGACGTTCAGCGGGGGCGGCATGAGCCTGACGGTGCTGGTTGGGGCGATGACGGGCGACGTGGTGAAAATAACGTTCGATGGATGCACGTGGAGGGACGGCGCCGTGCTGTTGCTGTTGGGCAACGCGCACGCCACTGTGGGGTCGCTGCACATCGTCGTCACTGGCAGCACCTTTAGTGACGCGCTGCTCAGTCCGGAGGGTGGGTTTCCACCGCACACGAACATCACGATCAGCGGGAACCGCTTCACTGTCACGAGGCTGATTCCTCGGTCGGGATTGGACATATGGATCCCGTCGTGCGTTGCGATGAATGGAATGGTGATCGCCAATGACTCCGCGGTGGTGCTCAGTGGCAATGTGTTTCAGACCGTGACGGCATCGTCAATCGCAATTTACGTTGTCAGATCTGCGCTGAGGGTGTCTTGGCACTCCGTGTTTGCGGTGGTGGGCAACACGTTTCATATGGACGGCGGTGGCAGTACGCTGATAAATATTGAGGGTTTTAGCCAGTCCTTGTCGCTGAGTGTACTGAACAGCTCTGCCGTGGTGGTCCGGGGCAATCTTGTGACGAGACCCGTGAGGTACTTTTTATTACTAATTTTGGCATTACGTGTGGAGTCTCGGTCAGCGGTTGTGTTTCAGGGCAACGAGATGCAGAGAAGCTCGGTTGTTTTTTTTTCAAGCCACTCTTCATACATCTACTACAACTCCTGGCTGCAGTTGAGCGGCAACCTCTGCCGTGAATCCCCATCGGAAGCGTTTGCTTCCCTTTATCCCAAAGTGAATCTCCGCGACTCCACGGTGTCTGTTTCCGGCAACCGATTCATGTCCAGCACGGGCACGCCGACAGTTCTGCGGATATCCACAGGGTCCCGCGATATCACAAACGGAGCGATTGTGGCTGCGTGCAACAGTGTGAACGGCGAGGAGAGAGTGAAATACAGCATCCCGTCCGTGTACAATGCCAATATCCTGACCTGCAGCGACCCATGCATCCTTGCGGCGTCGTGCTTCCCCGCGTACACGACGACGGCCTCGAGTGATGGCTGCGCCTGCAATTGCGCGGAGGGCGGCCACGGCGATGCGTGCCTGCCCGTTGCTGTCCCCGAGCCACCGAGCACTGACGGCGCCGACTTGTGCGTGCGGGACGTGCGTGTGGATGTGGAGGTGAACGCCGGTCTCGGGACGTCGGTAGCGTGCTACGTTGGTGTGACCTTTGCGGCGGATGTCGTGGTGGACGTGGCGTCGATGTCAGGGAGCGTGCACAACGTGACGCTGGCGAACTGCACGTTTTTGGGCGGAGCGAGCCTGTACGTTGTCGGGTGGCGGTCCGTTCCGCCTGCTGGACAGCGCGCCGATGTGTTGATCAGCGGGCTTGAGTCGCGCTCCGGTGGCGGCGTGGTGGTGGCGAACCGATTTCCGCCGGGCTCGCGCGTTACTGTGGTGGACTCGGTGCTGATCGCGGAGAAGCGTGTTGCGTATCGCGACGCTTACGGCCTTGGCGCCGCCTCCGCGTGCCTCGTGGTGCACAGCGTGAATCTGACTGGGAGCGTGCTGACCATTGCGCGCACGCATGTGGCGGCGGTGTTCCGCGACGCTGTTGGCGTGTTGGTGGTTGGCGGCGTGGCGCTGTCGTCGCGCGGTGCGCTGTACGTGGACGGGCTATCGGTGCAGACGGCGCTGGGGCTGTGCGTGTCGGTGGAGGGCGGTGTTGCGGCCAGCGGTGGCTCCGTGGTGGCGTTTGTTGACAGCGATTTCCTGCTGTGCAAGCACGCGGTGTCTGTGCGCGGGGCTGTGAGCGTGTCGGGCTCCGCAGTGGCGCTTGTGCGGGGCGAATTCTTGTCGACGGAGGAACACGCGGTGACGTTTTATTCGACGTGAGGCTGGCCGGTGGGTCGATGCTGCTGGCGAAGGGCAACGTGCACGACGGCGTCTCGAGGGAGATGCTCTACGCGGCTGACACCGTGACCGCTGCTGGGAGCACGCTGAGCTTTGTGTGCAACCGAGCGCTGCTGCCACGGATGCTGTCGGCGAGCCTGTCGCTTGCGGCTGGGGCGCATTTGAGAGTGGCGTGCAACGACGCTGGTGGGCGTGTCCTGTCGACGGCGGAGGAGTACGCAGCGGCTGGTTTTGGCGACGCTGGGAGCATCGACGTTGTTGGGTGCGACGCCTGCGACAGGGACACGCACTGCTACGCGCCCGGGACGGCGTCTGCGAGCATGATGAACGGTGTTTGCGTGTGCGATTGCGGCAGCGGAGGGTACGGCGAGGCGTGCGTGCCTGTGGAAGCTCCCGCGCTGCCGCCCGCTGCGGGCACCGCGTCGAGTGTGTTTGTCCGCGAGGGCGTGACGGTGCAGTCGGTGTTCGTTGTGCCTGCCGGCGCGAGCGAGGTGACGCTGCGCCACGTTGTGCTGGACGGCGTGAGTCCGGTGCTCTACGTACCGTGGATGGCGCGGGACGGCGTGCGGATCGTTGTGCAGAACGTGTCGCTGCTGAATGGTGCCGTGCTGTACGTGATGGGCGGTGGAGCGTTGCGCGGTGCGGGAGCGGCGGGGAGCGACGAGGGCGGGCCGGTGGAGCTGTCCGTGTGCGATGTGGAGGCGCTGAACGGTGCGCTTGTGCTGACCGGCACTTTCCCTGCGGGGTCCGTGCTGACGATGACGGACTCCGTGCTGGTTGCCACGAGGCCGACGCCACTTGTGTGTCTTCCCGGCTCGCAGTCCTCGCCGTACGCACCGGTGCTGGTGCTGTCGGGCCTGCGGCTCGTGCGGTCCGTGCTGGTTGTGTCCGGCGTTGCCCTCGTGACCGTGATGACTGGTGGGCGGACGGTGGTGGTGGACGGCGCGGTGCTGGAGCTCGTCGGTGGCGGTGTCTCGCTGGACGCGGCTGTGCTCGGTGGCGACTTTGCGTTGTACGCTGGTGCGCGCGTGGTTGCGTCGGGGGGCGCTGTGCTGCGCGTGTCGGGGAGCCAGGTGTACGCCGCGCATGGGTTGGTGTTCGACGGCGGTGTGGAGGCCAACGCGTCTGCCGTCGTAGTGAACGACAACGCCGGTGTGCTGACGGATGGCGCGCTGCTGGAGCTGCGGGGGTTGGCGTCGTTTGCGTCCGGGTCGTGGCTGTCGGTGCGCGGCAACAGCATCAGCGGCAGGCTCCTGTCTGTGCCGTCGTACCCGCGCCGTGCGGATCTTGTGCAGAGCACGCTGACGCTCCACGGGAACGCCGGCAGCGGGCCTGTCGTGATGGACGGCACCGTTGCGCTCGGGGGTGCCGGCCGAAGGTTCGTCGTGGGGTGCCTGACGCTCAACGGGCAGGCACTGCAGCCGATGGACTACAGGTCCGCCGGCATCATCGGGGAATTCCGCCCCGTGGCGTGTGGCGTGTGCGATGCCGACGTGCGCTGCTTTGCAGCTGCGACGAGGGCGATGTCTGGGTCGTGCGGCTGCCGCTGTGCTGAGGGCGGGTACGGGCGCGACTGCCTGCCGGTGTACCTGCCGCACGTGGACGGGTGCAACCGCACGCCTGGCATGCCGCCGCTGGGCCACACGGCGACGCTGACGGAGACGCGCAGCCCGACACCGACATGGACGCTGGGCCTGAGCACGACGCACTACAGTCCGACGCCGTACGGGCCGACGGAGGCGCTGCAGGTGACGGAGACGATGGCGCTGCCGCCCACGCGGACCCCCACAGCGTCGGTGAGCGGCACGCTGTGGTGGAGCGACGTGGCGTGCCCGACGCTTGCCGTGACGACGACGGCGGTTGGAGGAGGCCTCACGCAGAACGACATTCGCGGCGGTGGGAGCGCCGTCCCGACGCTGCTGATGGTGGCGCTGCCGCCGCCGTTTCGATGGGCAAGCGACCCGCAGCTCGGCACGCACCTGAGCTTCGTGCCGGTGTCGACGGCGCAGCCACGCGGGTTTTGTGGTTCGTGGGGAGCGATGCTGCGCAACGCGACGTGGGTGCGCAACGCGAAGAA